CTTTGTTACTAGTAGCTTCTTGTTACTAGTAGTAATGCCAGGAGCTACTAGTACCTTCTTGCTCCAAGTAGCGATGCCCTTTGTTACCAGTAGCTTTTGTTACTAGTAGTAATGCCAGGAGCTACTAGTAGCTTTTTGCTCCTAGTAGCGATGCCCTTTGTTTCTAGTAGCTTCTTGTTGCTATTAGTAATGCCAGGAGCCACTAGTAGTTTCTTGCTCCTAGTAGCGATGCCCTTTGTGACTAGTAGCTTCTTGTTACTAGTAGTAATGCCAGGAGCTACTAGTAGCTTCTTGCTCCTAATAGCGATGCCCTTTGTTACTAGTAGCTTCTTGTTACTAGTAATAATGCCAGGAGCTACTAGTAGCTTCTTGCTCCTAGTAGCGATGCCCTTTGTTACTAGTAGCTACTTGTTACTAGTAGTAATGCCAGGAGCTACTAGTAGATTCTTTCTCCTAGTAGCGATGCTGTTTGTTACTAGTAGCTTCTTGTTACTAGTTGTATTGCCAGGAGCTACTAGTAGCTTCTTGCTCAGTAGTTTCATGTTACGAGTAATAATGCCAGGAGCTACTAGTAGCTTCTTGCTCCTAGTAGCGATGCGCTTTGCTACTAGTAACTTCTTGGTACTAGTAGTAATGCCGGGAGCTACTAGTAGCTTCTCGCTCCTAGTAGCGATGCCCTTTGTTGCTAGTAGCTTCTTGTTACTAGTAGTATTGGCCTCCAACCAAATAGCGATGGCTTTCGCCTAGTAGCTTCTTGTTACTATTTTTGACAATCCCTTGGTGCGCTCTCTCGCACTTGTCCATGCCCTTCTCACAATTTACAATATTGGCTTGATTTCTCTCGAGAGCCGCTTTGGGCCACTTTGCATCTTACCCATGAACCTGTCCTGTCTTCAGCCGGAGGCACGGCGCCCTCATGAGAGCCGAGGAGGAGGTCAGACGAATCATCTTCTGCATAGATATCCCAAAGACGGATGGAGCAGTCTTCACCTTGTTCGTGCCCACAAGACTTTGTTCTGTTTTTGTTTGCGTGGTTGCTTTTGCAACTCAGCATACTGTCCCCACTTCAATGTTCGAGGACCCGCCAGAAAGGGCACTCTATCTGTGGTGTCTTTAACGCATCTCCAACCAAGCTAGCCAAGTTGAAAAGCCCATGCGTTGTTCAAGCCACGGCGAAAAGCAAAACCAAAGGTTGCCAAAGGGGTTTGCGAGAGTCGCTGGCGAAAGTATTGTTTAGCATGGTTTGGCATGATTTAATCAATCCTTCGACCTTCGAAGGCCTGCACAATGCAAAAAAGGGCAACTGTAACAACAAAAACAAGTATCCAGCCCCTTTGTGTCGCATGCTTACTACAAAGAAAGGACTCGATGCTCTCAAAATCCATGGGGAAGAAGATGGAAGAAGTACACTTACAGATCTTACAGCAACGCTATGGGAATTGGGAAAATTCATCTGTGAGAGGCGTTTCGTCTTGATATGTCACCCTGTCCACTCGGTCAGCAAGTCCGAGGATTCGACTGCCAGAGACTGCCAGACCACAGGACCAATCGACACTGCAAGATGTGACGCCTGAGCCGGTCCATGGACCATCGAAGAACGCATATTGACCGTGAAATTCTCACAGCTGTCTGCAGCATGCACCTCTTCTATGCCCGTCAAATTCCTGAAAATAGTCCTGACTTGACGGGAAAAAACAGTCCAAAAAGAATCAAACTGGCCAAACTGGGTGCAGAGTATAAAGATAGACACGCTTCAAATAAAACAGTTCAAAAACAAACAACCTGACTATGCTCAAACATTGTTTGCCCTGGAGGAAGAATTGAACCAGCAGTTCCTTTATCGGCTATAAAACAGCTCCAAAGTCTTGCCTGGAAGACTTGTGAAGGAGCCCCAGAGTGATAAAACAAGCGGAACGCAATCTGACACCAAGGATCGGTTGAATTGAAAGGCCACATGCGCAAACACGAGTCGAAGCTTCCAGTCAGAAAGTGAGCGGAACGCCAGTCCACATCCAGTGACCTCCAAAAGAAAAACTATCAGAATATCAATGTTGCAGTGGTGCGGCGTGTCATAGACGGCCCTGTTCCACTTGGCTTTGAAAGCTGTGGCTTGCTTGTGCCTGCACATGTGTCTGTGTGAAGCTTCGCGCGCACCTTAGAGAAAATGTCGAGCATTTTGCTCTCACCATCCCAGGCTCAAACCCCCTGCTCGATTCCATATGTTGCGCCATGTGAACACTAGGTCAGGTCATCTGGTGTGGCACTCTTGGCTCCTTTTGCGCACTTCAGCTTTGCACAATCACCGTAGCTGTGAACGCTGTGAGCCACTGTGCTTTGGGCTCCCGTCCAGCGCGTCATGGGCTCGTCAAGGCTCCCGTCCAGCATGTATGCCTGTCGGTCTGCGGTGATCAGCTGCCATCCTTGCCTGATGCAAATGTCCATGTGTACAGATGCGCCGCCCTCATTGGATCTGGTGGCCTTTCTGGGCATCAGCTGCTTTACCGCGGTCCCCAGCAAGTCGCGCATCACCCTGATGGCTGCTTGCACGCAGCTCTCTCCAAGATTTGGTGTCTTTGGTGAGTTTTGCACGGCATACTGACAGCCTGGCCTGTCAAATCGAGCGCCCATCCTCATTCCGCTGCCTGGGCATCTTCTGCGCCTCTCTCGTGGATCTCTTTCTTCACCTCTTTCTCTAAGCACCTGGAAATCCTCCACGCGCCCTCCTGGCCCGCAACCACAGACGTCGACCACGTGCAAACGATGGAAAAACCAACCTGCAATGACACTGTCCTCAAATCTCAACTTCTTCAGCTTTCTGACAAACCATTCTACCCATCTTGCTGCTGCAGCTCGTCAAACATACCCCCCGACATGGAGTTTTCACGTCACAGCCGTTGGCTTACCGCTGTTTGTCTCTCTTCAAGCCATTCCTTTGGCGGAAATAGCGCTCCTCCTTGGTTGGCACTTGCCAGAATCCATTGGTTGCATCTCCTGTTCCTGTGAAGAACGTGTAGCCTGCCTTCACCCCCACAAAGTCAATGATCCTCGATGTTGCACAGGTTGAGCTGGCTTCAAAGACATCAGTCCTCCAACAGTTCGTCTTGAGACAATACCTTGCCTTGCCCTCATCAATCCTGTTGGCTTCCTGCTTGGCAGCCAGTCGCTCTCAGAAAACATCTTTCTCTCACTTTCGTTTGCCGAAGCTGGCAGTGTAGCTTGACGTCTCCATCTTCCTCTATTGCTTGGCTGCCAGCTTTTCAGGGCATCAGATGCTGGCCTGGCTGTTCTCCTGATCCTCAAACTCCCTTCAATATTGGTTCGTCATACCTACTACCTTTCAGCTCTCCCTCGCGCTTCCTCCAATGATCATGCTCACACCAAGTCCTTCCACGCTCTGGACCAAGGCCTTGTACAGTGTCCATGCGTCCAGCTTGCTGTTGTCATTCAGGCGCGTCAGAATGAGGTCATTTGGTGTGTCTGCAACCTCAGGTGCTTCAATCGGGGCCGTATGGTTCATGCCGAAGAGCGAGGCGGCCACAAACATTCAGGTCACCCAGTCTTCCCCCTTTCCATTGAAGGTCCTAATTGTCCATAGGCCTTTGGATCCAATCAATTGCCCATTCAGGCGGCACAGCAGGCTCCTGAGCTGCCTGACTGACCTCTCCCTGGGCCCGCCACCTGCTTGCCCGGGCTCGGTGGTCTTATGTTGCCCATCTGCCCCGGAGGGCTCCGCTACCATGCAGCGGAGTGGCGTGCCACAAACTACGGACCCCTTTTCAATTGAGCTTTGAAGGCTGTGGTTTGTGTGTGTGTCTGTCTGTTGTGTGAAACCTTGCAAATGTTACAGTACATACTTTTGCTTACATTTAGTGACGCATCCATCGACAGAAGAAGCACCAAGCTACGATTGCGATTTCTGTTGCTTGCATGCTACACTTGGTATATGTGGTCATTATATATATATATAATGTACGTATTGTATTCTTTATACATGGTACTGTAATCATCTGGAGAGCTCGACTTCTCGCCTCACAGCATCCTGGTGTGCTAGCAACAGTTGAAGACAGCTGCCAGTGGTAAGGCACCAACGGCGGATGGTGCCATCCTGTCCACCACTGAAGGCATCAGGAAAGCAAAGTGCTACCTGATCCAGGAGGGGTGAGGGGTGCATCAGAGCGGTCATTTATATTATATATATAAGGGTTGCAACGCGTGGGGGGCGTGCAGACTCGTTTGCCAAGTTGCTGCCCAAACAGCACCAGTGTGACCCGTAAGGAGACTAGTGCAGGAAGCCTCAAGGTAACCATCAAAACCATGAAAGCACGACAAATGGTAAAATGTAGACTATGACACTCTCAGTGTCATAGCAGTTCTCCAGGCGGAGCAAACATCTTCTTTCCAAGCAGCTGTCTCCAAGTCCCAAAGCCTGAGGAAAGGGATTCAAATTCGGTCTCCGACCATGGGATCGAGCGTTCTTATTTTGCTGCGAGAAAGCATTATACATTCCTTATAAATAAATATAATTGAATAATACGTAATATGTGCATCATCTGCTATCCAACATAGGCTTGCTTGTAGGTACCCAATTGCCAGGATCAAGTCCGACGCTTGAACCGGCTTGCAAACTGCTTTTCTCATCCCCGGAAAGGAGCGGTTGTAGTCCATAGATGTCTAATTATAGTCCAAAGAACTGAATATCAGCCCAGAACCGCGCCTCCATGAATCAAAAACATGTCGGTGTCACAGAGCCCTATGTGCACCAAACAAAGCAAATCATTTGGTGGCACCGGTCGAACAAAATTGAAAAGGTTGAAACCCTGGTAGCAATGGCCTCCAACCTAAGAGCGATGGCCTCCAACCTACTAGTTTCTTGCTCCCTGGATGTTGCTGAAACAAGTTTCCGAGACCCTGGACCCTTCCCGAAAGTCCTGACGGTATTCAGACAATGCGGTAGCTAGATACAACTTGAAGACAATGTACCGTCTCGCACCTCAATGTACCGTCTCGCGCTCCACTGATGCAATGCCCATCATGCCAAGCTGTTGCACTGCAGCAAACCCAATCGATGTGGCCCGTCAAGCGCGCCACAATCTGCGATTTGCTCAGCGCGGCGGTATCCAAGTGTCAAAGCTAAGCTAGGAATCGTGCAAATGAACAACCAAAATGAACGTTCCAAACTTGGTACGTTTCTACTGATCCTTCGTTTTTGGGTTTCTGGCTTTGCTTTCGGATTTGCACCAGTTAGGCTACTATGCTCTGTTTGTTCAACAAGTGAGTTAGATTACCACTGCACCTTTACAATGTGAAGCACGGCGCCACTCCAACAGTGCGGCTTTTCTCTCACAACTCATGTCGGCCGGGGTCTACAAAGGACACTTTTTCGTGGATTTTGTTTTCATGTTGGCTTCGTTTTAATAAACTCCATTTCATACGCTCCAAGCCCTCAAGATAAAATAGTCGAATGCAACGGGCCAGAGAGTCCAAGGGTCCAAGGTCTGCAGGAGACACAACAAAGCTACGATCCGATGGCTTCCCAGCTTCGACTTTCGAGCTCAAAACAGGATGCAAGCATCCCATCAAGAGGTTTCGTTTTCAGTTTCCGGTTTCGTTTCCAAAGGAATGTGCAAAATGTCACTCCACATGGACCATTTTGTAAAGTAACTTAACGCATCTTAACGCTAAGTTTTTAGGGGTGGCTCAAATCTTGGTAGGAGGCCAAACGTGCAATATCCAAAGTATGTAGATTGAACTCCGGCCTCACCCGAGGTGAGGTCCCAAAGGACAAGACTGCGATCGAAGCTGCCACTAATTGCCCGCCGCCCTTGCCAATCCTGAGATTGTCATTGCACGATTGGCGATCCATGTGGCCTTCCAATCGAATAGCGAGCGGGAAGATATGAATCCGAGAGTATCAACTGCAGACACAGCAACTGGGGCCAAAGTAATTCATAAACGTCACTCTGCTCCGCATATCACGCCTACTATGTTCTATGTCTTTCATTGTCTTCCTACCCGTGTACAAAGTTGGGACGACCAATCGAATTTTTCAGCCCAAGATGCTGCTTCTACACAGCGTATGGTGTCCTCGTGACCTCTCAAGGTTTGGCGAACCTGAACGTCATGAAGCGTCGTGAGTGGTTGATAATTTGTAGTTTGTCACGCTTCCACGTTTTCTTCGCAACGAAATCAATGTCAACTGAGTATATATACATACCTGAGAAGGGGGGGACGAAAGCCAGCAGCTGCCAGACGAATGTCTCTTTTTCTGGCGGGCGTCGCAGCACAAGACACATGGTCGGCAGCTTGCGAGTCAGCGGTGCTGCGGATGCGGGGGGGGCATATGTATGGTGATGGAGGGAGCAGAGAAGCAAGCCGGGCGGCTTTGGGATAAGTTTGGTATGAAAGAAGTAGTGAAAAAGAAGTGCGATACGTTGTATGTTGGTGTAGGTCATCACCACAAGGCAATGGCATGCGTTTGTCACACGCAGGAAGGTATGCGTCTTATAGAAGTTGGAAGGCGACATCGGCGTTACCGAAGGGGAAATACCATCTAAGTTCGGGTGGTGGGATACCACGCGCGCGCGCGCCGCGCGCCGCGCGCGCGCAGGAAGACCTTCTCCATAGTCAGCGTGGCCGCGCGCGCGCGCCAGTATGGCGTGGGGTTGAAAAGAAGCAAGTAGGTGTTTGTTACATTTGGAGTGTTTGAAGTTTGCAATGCATACTGCAGCACGTCGAAAAAAGCGGCATTCGTTGATTTGGAAGAGTGAACGGGCACGTCTTAGCCGGGACGCGGACGTTTGATCCCGCGGCGCAGAAGGGGAGGTCGCGCGGGAGTAGCTTGGAGTGAGGATTTGTGCGCCTATCGATGCACATGCCTGGACTTGAGTGAGTCATGTCCTGGCTCGATCCAAAACACCTTTGAAGGTGCCCTTTTTAAACGATCCAAACACCTTCTTTGTTCTTCTCTTTCTTATCAACTCTGCGCTTTTCTCACTCAGAGGCCTTGACTTTGGCACCTGCGTGTGTTGATGTTTGGGCCGTGGACCCAGGCTGACGGGATTCGGCCAGGGCTGCCAGCAAAAATCTCTCTTTCTCTATCTCTCTATCTATCTATTATCTAAAGGCTCATCTAGCTTGAACCGGTGTCTTCCAAATAGCAAGTGGGTGTTTGATCTGGAACCTTGTTGTCAAGTTTCTTGCTGGCTCCGTTAAAAGCATGTAACACAGCCATGTAGTTTATTTGGTCCTGCTTGGGAGCAAAGAGCTCTAAGAATGAGAGGCAACATCCACATGCACCTGATACACGCAAGACTGACCTATATATATATATATACAGTCATGGAACTTCAAGAATTTCGATTTCTTCGTAGTGGGCAGCCATGCCAGCGTGGAGATATGATGATGATGGAGACGTTACGTGTGAAGAGTCCGCAGAGACCATCTCCTTCCTCACAACCACGAACACAATCCACCGCTTCTGGCGCCACAGCCAAGCACAACTATTTCAAAAGTTTTGCGCCACATTTTGATAGAGCTTTCGCTTCAAGATTTTTTAACCACTTGGATGGAGAACGTGGACCTGTCGGAGCTGCAAAAAGAAAGGCTTGACTTTGACCGGGACGTTGCAACTTCAATAGGTCCAACTCGTACTTCACACTATTTGCCAGATCTTTCTCGACCCTCTGCGGAGTCATGCGTTGATCTAGGTCTGTGCGGCCCCGAGGGTTGCCTGAGCCAGCTGGAAGCACCAACCACTGCGCTCAGATGCCCAGCTTGGACGTGTGAAACTTTCTCGGTTTGACATTTACCTCGTATTGGTGCTCAGGAGCGGAGGCTCATCTTGGATTGGAAGTTTATAATTGGGGCAGTCGGACGCAAACACTTGAAGCTTGTAGGTGCAATGTGCGCCCGAAGCTTCGGTGCCTTGCGCCCGGCCAAGCTCGATCAATGGGGCCTTGCAGGAATGAATGAGTTGGAGACGGAAAACCTGTCACAATTTTGCCAGCCAAATTGATTTGGCCGGGAAAACCCGTCACGTTTCACACCGGGGCCCCAGCCCCAAAATGTGATGGTTTTTTGAAAAACCGTCGCAATTAAATAAGGAAAACGAAAACCCGTCAAACTTTCCAGCTCATCCCCAACTTCAAAAAGTGATGGGTTTTCCAAAACCTATGGGATTGTGATGGGTTTTAAAAAACCCATCGCTTTTCTGGGGTCAGCCGAGCTTCCAGATGGTGATGGGTTTTCTGAGCAAAACCACTCAGCCAAATGGATTTGGCCACCAAAAATGTGATGGGTTTTTAAAAAATCTGTCGCAATTTGACCAGCCAAATCCATTTGGCCGGGAAAACCCGTCACAATTTGACCAGCCAAATCCATTTGGCCAGGAAAACCCATCAAAATATAGCCAGCCAAATCTTTTTGGCCAGGAACACCTCGAACACTTGGTATACCTAGGGTCCAACCGCTTTGCACTTGGAGTAATGAGGTGTTGCAAAACCTGTTTGGCATAAAGGACTTGTCACGGCTTTACTGTTAAATTGTGTTGGTTCAGTAAGGACACCTCAGTTTCCAACAAAGACCAAAGCAGAAGGGCCGGGGCTTTGAGCTGGGCGCGCTTAACCTTGGTAGGCTATTTGACTGCCAGCTAGCTGGCAGCCGATGTGCCAGTTTACTGGCAGCCACAACCTGTTTGAGTTTGTGGTGTGTGCTTGAGGGGCTTTAGGACGAGGTGAGAGTTGTTCGAGTAAAACGGTCGCGTCCTTCGTGATTCTTAGAGCCGCGGCGTGTTGAGGCGATGCGGTAGCAGGGGACAATATCGCGTCACATGGACGATCAAAATGAAAAATAGCATAAGCAAAGATTCAACCTTTTGACCTGCTGGCTTGGTTGCAATGTGCGCATGGAGCCTGGTAATTGAACTTGGCGCTATTTGCTATCATTATGGTTTTGAATGGGATGCCGCGTGATGCGTGCAAGCGCTGATTGTTTGCACATTGCAGCAAATTCTGCGAGTCCGTGGAAAAAGCTACCAGCTTGTGCTTTGGAGTTTACCGGACGGGTAGAAATTTGGACACCCCCTTGCTATTTGGAGGACACTAGGTTCAGGCTAGATGAGCCTGTATGTATCCATCTGTCTGTCTGTCTGTCTATCTATCCATCTATCTGTACCGGCAAGCCGGAAAAACGTTCCGTGCGTGTGGACGCCGCGAGAAGCATCCACTCGACTGAGGACATGGTGCAAGTAGAGGTTTTGCTAGGGGGCAGGAACCCTATGCGGATATGTAGTCAACCTCGCAGGCATCCCCACCGAAACTCAATCCAAATTCATGCACTTGAACTCATGTCACTTTCGGTTCTCTATGGGCTTCGCGAGTTACGGGCTGTCCTGGGAACTCAAATCCTACATGCGGCGGCGCTCTGCTCCGTACGTGGGTCCCTGTCTCCACTCTATTGCTCAACGCCCATTGTCCAAATAGCCTCCGAAGCCCTTCATGATGCTGATGATGCACTACTCGGCATCCATTGCATCACTCGCATCACCAGACCCCATTTTCACTGCTTTTCTGACCCTCGCTTTGGAGCGCTCTCCCCCACCAAGCTCTGGGTTCGCCCTCTCAAATTGCGCCTTTTCGCGACCTCCCCCCCCACACCTTCGTTCGCTCTAAAAGCTCAAGCCTAGCTTATCGGCTGGCTTTCGTAATATATATATATATATACATCTATTTGTTCATCTGTTTTGCGACTCTTGCGCAAAGCCTCTTCCGGCCTTCCATTCTGACAAGTCCCACAAAATCAGCCGCCGGTCACTGCCACCGCTCCTAAGCTTTGAAGTTGCTTGCAACGGGTACGCTGGTGTCATTTGCCGCCGCGCTTGACACGTCAACGCCAAGGATCAACGCCTCCGAGCCGGCCCAGTTCACTGTGAGGCACAGAATCGTGTCCATATGCCTCGGGGTGATCTCAAGCACTGCGCGCAATGCATGTGCAATGCATGTGCGGTTGCACTGGCGCTTGTGTGAAAAGATGTGAAAAGCTATTCTCTGTCTTTGGACAAGGGTGGGGGGCCATTCCTCTGTGTAGGGCTTAGGCTACTAATACTACCCTGGCCAATGAACCAAATGTCTGAACTGCCCTGCTGTGGTGCTACCACTCATGCGCTCTAATTGACAATGAGTGCTAATATCTTTTTGGGCAGTGAATGTGTCTGGTAATACTCAAATGGAGCAACAAAAAGAGAAGTTCAGACTTGGTCGAACAAACGTAGGAACATCATAGGAAACTCTCTGACTCAGTTAACCAGTTGTCACGCCAATCTTGCTTCTCAAGGTGCCCTTGCAGCCGACCAATACATTTGCCACGCCGGAAGGTCTCACGAAGGCGCAGGACAGAGTCCTCCGAAGGCGCAGGTGGTGCCTTGATTCACAAATCTCTGCTTGGCCAAAGTGAGGACAATTGGAGTCCTCTCCAGCTGCTATGAGCTGATGCTTTTGCCAGTTCACAGACACGGCGGAGGAGCAGCCCAATTCTAAGCTTTGCAAGCCTAGGCATTCAGCGCAAGTGAGGTAGTTGCAAACAGTCAAAGTATCAAGACATATGCAGCTGCTTCACGCACGGCTTGGGGGTATGGCATGCGTGCTGCCCAAGCGCAGCGTCCGCGGCAAAGATCCCAGAGTTTGACGCTTCGGTTTTCCGTGGTGACGGCCAATGCAGATTGCCAATGAACCTAAGTTGTGGTTAGATCTTGGAAGTTGCGTCAACCATCACAAAAAAGGTAAGCACCCGAGCTTCATCCACTCAAACCACTTCAAGAAAGCGTTTATTGTTTCAGCATGCCACTGTTGTAGGGGTGGGTGAAGACTACAGTAATGGTTCTCAGTGCCAAGCCCCTCGTACGCTGTGTCTTGGTGTATTCATATCTCCAAATGGATCCAGGTGTCACTTTGCACATAAATCTCCGGGAACAGAAATCGTTCTTGCTTCTGTTTCATGACTGCAACATGTTGCAAATTACCAAATTGTGCGATTTGTGTCGGTTTGTGGCGTGTCAATTCTGAGTTGTGAGGAGCCTGTTTCGTGAAGCGGCAGAAATTAAAGAACAAGAGCCGCAACAAAGCATCCGGCGTTCCCAAGTGGCTATTGCAAATCAGGAGTGGCAGCTAAGGTGTTTCCTGCTGCAATATCTATGCATTGAGAAACTAAGGCACCCATCGAGCCCAATCACTTGAAACCAAGAAGCGCACATGCAGGTTGCAACTGGACCAGGACCCCCGACCACCTGAGCGCCGTTGGACTAACTAAGCGAGGTTGCTGGACCCACTGACCAGGCCTCAAACTTTCAAAAAGAAGTTTTCTGTTTGCATCCCGATTTCCCTCGCACATGTTCGATCGAGAAACTACCGGAAGTTGAAGCACGTAAAATGCGTGAAGATCAATAGACAAGAATGAAAATAACTCAAACACAAGTGTGCCGGATAAAATGGAGTACGTAGCTCAAGAACATCTACAAAGACTATCGGCTTACAGGGCTTTGGACCCCAGCATGTTCATTGGGAGGGTATCGGCTCTTGGTCCCCTACTGTCCCTTCTTTTACTACGTCCTTTTCTATGCGCAGAATTGTCCGTTGCGAAATCTAGGGTGGATCAGCTCAGACACGCGTAAGCATTGTCCAACAGTGAGGTTCCAGAACTTCAACTGTCCATCCTGCAAGACACAAACATCAGCCAGCGGTCAACCATGGGCTTGCTTAAAGATATTCAAGGAAAATCCATCAAAATCAGACGCCTTGTCAATCTCTCTCAATAAGTGTATCGTGTTTCGATGCAGCTGATAAGCCATGGTTCAACAGCCCTTTCCTCTCCGCATGTCAAGGCACTTCGACCTGACCAATCCACTTCTAAGCCGACCAAAAGACCTCAGCCCAACACAAAATATGCCCCCCTACCAAAAGATAGCACATCCAAACTCGAGAGATAAAATGGCAAACCAGCAAATCAAAAAAATCAAAAAACTGGGGAAAAGTTGCAAAAAGGCACAAAAAGCGCCTGATCCCTTCGACCGGTTTGATGGCACATCAAAGCTCGGTAGTTAAGATGGCAAACCAGTGAAATATATGTTCAAAATGAAGAAAATAAAAATAAAAAAAAACAGCAAAAATTGCAAAAAAGGCAGCAACACGGTCTTTTTCCCACGGCTCTCACCTGCCCCCCTATTATATATACTTCCCCTCTCCTGCGCTTCTCTTCCTCTTTCCTTTGTCTCTTATCCTCTACAGTCCCTCTTTTTTCCTGTATATCTGTCCTATTTTTTTCCTTGCCTTGTTCTTTCCTCTCTTCTGGTTCCTCTTTCATTTGAACCTGCTATATCTTCTTCATCCGTTTTCTCCCCTCCCCCCTGACAGCCTCCCCTCTCATCACCTGGCATGCGCCATCTTAGTGGCTCCAATCATCCCAGCTCTCCCACCTGCCCCACCCCTCTT